GAGGGGAATGTGTGGGTGTGAATATAATGCAGAGAATTCGTAGTTTGGAAGTTAGGAGGAGGTGCGGGATTACCAAAACTGTTGTCCAGAGGGCTGAGGAAGGGTTGTTGAGGTGGTTTGGACATGTAGAGAGAATGGAGCGAAACAGAGTGACTTCAAGAGTGTATCAGTCTGTAGTGGAAGGAAGGCGGGGTAAGGGTCGGCCTAGGAAAGGTTGGAGGGAGGGGGTAAAGGAGGTTTTGTGTTCGAGGGGCTTGGACTTCCAGCAGGCATGCGTGAGCGTGTTTGATAGGAGTGAATGGAGACAAATGGTTTTTAATACTTGACGTGCTGTTGGAGTGTGAGCAAAGTAACATTTATGAAGGGATTCAGGGAAACCGGAAGGCCGGGCTTGAGTCCTGGAGATGGGAAGTACAGTGCCTGCACTCTGAAGGAGGGGTGTTAATGTTGCAGTTTAAAAACTGTAATGTAAAGCACCCTTCTGGCAAGACAGTGATGGAGTGAATGATGGTGAAAGTTTTTCTTTTTCGGGCCACCCTGCTTTGGTGGGAATCGGCCAGTGTGATAATAAAATAAAAAAAAAATTAAGCATCACTCCCATTATAGCTGCTTTTCCAGAAGAGCACAGAAATCATGGTCCATGGAATAGCAGCCTCCTCACTTATGCGTAGTGCAGACACTACATTCCCATTTACAGAACTCAAATCCTCCTAGCTCCAAGAGCATAGCTACCATAGACCATGCTTTCATTCCATTCCATCATTGTTATTTACCTGCCTGCTGTACACCTAAATTGCTATATCTTGACACCTCTCCTCAACTCTTCCTTGTATTTTCTCTGACATCACATTCATGTTCCTTGTTGCTGGTGAAGGGCTATTGATTCAAGAATTGGAGTTACCCTCCACTTTAGATCAAACCTGATTAAATGTTATTCAAACTTTTACCAGGTATAATAGAATGTAAGCTGAAAATTTTAAAACTAATTGCTAAGGTAGTTTGAACACTAAAGAGTGGTGAGCAAAAAGGATGAATTGTTGAATATCATTAGGTGATAAAAACTAAGTAAGGTCTGAATGAATGGTAGACTGGTAGATATAAAGTTTTTAGGATGTTCATACCTTAAGTTAATTTTTTGAGTGTTGGCCATTTCTTAGGGGAACTTAATGTCTTATTTCTGTGACTTATTGATTCACTATGGAATCTATGAATTTTATTTAGTAATCTTAATTAGAAAGGTAGGCTAGTAGTTGTTATTTTATGTGATAGTGCTATTGTTTTATGGGGCTTTTATATTGGTCCATATTTGTTGTAATAAGGAAACAGCTGCATTACCTAACTAGGCTGGGTCAGTGGCATAAGCCAGTAGGCGACTTGGACCTCCCTCGCATGGGCCAGTAGGCCTGCTGCAGTGTTCCTTCTTTCTTATGTTCTTATGTATACTGTTTGGTAATTGAAGGAATTAAAACCCTGCATACATACAGTACTTAGGAAGCTTGTGACATGAGTCCTATGGTTGACCCTGGTTGATGCTGAAGTCTAGTAATTATTAAGTGATTTTTTTTTTCTGTTTAATTTATGCTACAGTATATGATGTAATTTTAATGCTGTAATTTTGTTCTTAGAGTAGTTGGTTGTAATTGTGCCAATATGTACTTATATATGATTAACATGAGTAATCTAGAAACTTTTCTCATAGTTACTGCCTTGGAGGGTTGTTACTAAGGTAAACAAGGTATTAATGACTTAATAGTGTATGCTGGATGCAGTTTGGCAAGTTATTTTTTGCACTGTAGTATTATCTGTTTCCTTATCTATTTTAAATACTAATATTGAGGTATTAACAGTACATTGTTGTACTGTAATACCTCCAACTATAAAATGTTTATAGTTTGTGTCTATATCTTGGTTCTGGCTATTAAGAATAAAGGGAACATCTGTAATTTTTTTTTTTTAACAAGTCGGCCGTCTCCCACTGAGGCAGGATGACCCAAAAAGAAAGAAAATCCCCAAAAAGAAAATACTTTCATCATCATTCAACACTTTCACCTCACTCACCATAATCACTGTTTTTGCAGAGGTGCTCAGAACGCAACAGCATATATGCATATATGTATATGTATATATGCATATATGTATATGTATATGTATATGCATGTATGTATATGCATATATGTATATGTATATGTATATATGCATATATGCATATATGTATATGTATATATGCATATATGTATAAAGATACACAACATATCCCTCCAAACTGCTAATATCCCGAATCCCTCCTTTAGAGTGCAGGCACCGTACTTCCCACTTCCAGGACTCAAGTCCGGCTATACAAAAACAACCGGTTTCCCTGAATCCCTTCACTAAATATTACCCTGCTCACACTCCAACAGATCGTCAGGTCCCAAATACCATTCATCTCCATTCACTCCTATCGAACACGCTCATGCATGCCTGCTAGAAGTCCAAGCCCCTCGCCCACAAAACCTCCCTTACCCCTTCCTTCCAACCTTTTCGAGGATGACCCCTACCCCACCTTCCTTCCCCTTCAGATTTATACGCTCTCCATGTCATTCTACTTTGATCCATTCTCTCTAAATGACCAAACCACCTCAACAACCCCTCTTCAGCCCTCTAACTAATACTTTTATTAACTCCACACCTTCTGATTTCCACACTCCGAATTTTCTGCATAATATTTACACCACACGTTGCCCTTAGACAGGACATCTCCACTGCCTCCAACCGCCTCCTCGCTGCTGCATTCACAACCAAGCTTCACACCCATATAAGAGTGTTGGTACTACTATACTTTCATACATTCCCTTCTTTGCCTCCATCAATAACGTTTTTTGTCTCCACATATACCTCAATGCACCACTCACCTTTTTTCCCTCATCAGTTCTATGATTAACCTTATCCTTCATAAATCCATCCGCCGACACGTCAGCTCCCAAGTATCTGAAAACATTCACTTCTTCCATACTCCTCCTCCCCAATTTAATATCCAATTTTTCTTTATCTAAATCATTTGATACCCTCATCACCTTACTCTTTTCTATGTTCACTTTCAACTTTCTACCTTTACACACACTCCCAAACTCATCCACTAACCTTTGCAATTTTTCTTTAGAATCTCCCATAAGCACAGTATCATCAGCAAAAAGCAGCTGTGTCAATTCCCATTTTGTATTTAATTCCCCATAATTTAATCCCATCCCTCTCCTAAAAACCCTAGCATTTACTTCTTTTACAACCCCATCTATAAAGATATTAAACAACCATGGTGACATTACACATCCCTGTCTAGGACCTACTTTTACTGGGAAGTAGTCTCCCTCTCTTCTACACACCCTAACCTGAGCCTCACTATCCTCATAAAAACTTTACAGCATTTAGTAACTTACCACCTCTTCCACATACAGTGGACTCCGGTTTACGATATTATTTCATCCAGAAGTATGCCAGGTGCCAGTACTGACCGAATTTGTTCCCATAAGGAATATTGTGAATTAGAATAGTCCATTTCAGACCCCCAAACATACACATGCAAATGCACTTACATAAATACACTTACATAATTGGTCGTATTGGGAGCTGATCGTAAACCGGGGGTCCACTGTACTTGCAACATCTGCCACATTGCTTCCCTATCCACTCTATCATATGCCTTTTCTAAATCCATAAATGCAATAAAAACTTCTCTACCTTTATCTAAAATACTGTTCACATATATGCTTCAATGTAAACGCTTGATCTACACATCCCCTACCCACTGTAAATTATTTAACCCTTTGACTGTCGCAACCCCCAATCCTGAGGTGTCTTCTGGTGTCGCAAAATTTAAAAAAAAAAAATTATATTTTCTTATGAAATGATAGAGAATCTTTTCCCGATTGTAAAGACACCAAAAAAAACAAAATTTGATGGAAAACTGACGGAATTACGCTCTCGCGAAGTTAGCGACCTCGGCGATATTTACAAATCGGCGATTTCGCCCACTTTGAGCCCTATTTTCGGCTAATTCCATTATTCCAGTCAACCAAACTCATAGCTATTTCTTCAGAACTCCATTTTTTCCATCGATTGAGTACAAGAAACTGCCCATTTACCGATTTCAACTACCCAATAACATGGTCAGAAATTTGCAATTTGGCCAATTTCACGAAAATTAAAAAATATGACAATATGCAGACTTTCCTGGCTCTAAAATAACATTTTCTTTGTTCATCAGTCATGTCTCCAGGCCCCTGTGATATTACTCTTGCTTTTTATTTTGAAATTTTATTCAAACAAAAAATAGAAGATTTACTGTTATGCAGACTACTGCAATACTGTAATAATTGTAAAAATTACATCAACCCATTCATGACTGCATATTAGAATGGCTATTTGGACATTATTGGACAATAAAATCATTTGTTTACTTTTGAACATCGGCAAAAATCAAACATTTCCCGTACTTTGTGCTCCATTTCCAGGTTCTTTTTTATAGTAAAATAAATCAAAATCACCTTATTTCTATAATATAGTTTCCATTTATCAAATGAGACCAAGAAAGCGAGAATACAACCACAAATACTATACAAAAATAGACCACAAAGTCGGCATTTTAATTAAAAAAAAACGGTCGGAGTTTTTTTTTTCTCATTATGCACTGCGTTGCTCCAGGATTTTTTTTATTTGGTGCACACTGACCACACAGACCCATTCTCTCACATGTGGGCCTACCAGCTTTCTCCTGCCTGATTTGAAGCCGCTAGAATTTATGAGTATATTATACGTCAAACACGGTACCTCGTAAACGTATATATATATATGGCCGCGACAGTCAAAGGGTTAATATAATTGTTATTGATGTATTGAACTTGTAGTATGGTTTCAAAGAATTCTTTAAATTTGTATTTATTTTTTTTAATATACTGTATGAGTTTACATGTATAATTATTTTCACAACCTGTATCTGTGTATTATTTAGTTTCTTTTTGCAGCTCATGGGTGATAATGAGAGTGGAGAACCGGCAGGTCTGATGTCAGGTGCATCTTCTGGACGTTTGATTTTTTCCAGCAGTTTTTTGATGTTGAAAATAAACAAGTTGGCAGATAGATTTTATGGTTCAATGGTTTTCCAAGCCATGGTGTCGTTACTTGCAGTCTATATGCGACAAAACCTGATCTTTATGTAAGTCTGAAAAAAGCAGTTTATTATTGGTATTTTACATATTAACAAGGCATTTTGCTGTACAGTTAACCCCAGAATTCATGTGCTTTGTAATCCATGTGGTGTTCTTAACTGTTACAGTGATTTTACTGTAGGCCATTTAGCAAATAGTGTGATTATTCTTGTTTCTTAGTGTCCTTTGTTATTTTTTTTTCTTTTATACAATCTTAAACAAAAAAATAACCTTAGATTTTTCATTAAATAAAGAGAGAGAGCCAAAAACATTTAAATAATTTGGACATGCAAAATTTTGCATTGTACATGTGTGTTTTCAGGATTTAAATCAAATCCAGAACTTAACCCCCACAATTTAAAAGGTTCAGTTTTACAATACATTTGTAATACAGTATATACAATGTCAACTACACATTCATATTTTTTCATGATTTTTCCAAGTAGTTGTCTCCCTCATAGCGAAAGTTTGCTTGTTGTGATTTTACTTATGAACTAAGTGTTGTTTATATTAGGGAAAGTTTTGATTAGTGTGACTTCATTCCTTACTCGGTAACCTTTTGTAACAATTCTCACGAGATGTGTGGATCCTTGCTACTCCTGAGACAAACAAACAAATAGTGACAAATGAGCTTGCACATTCAGTGACCTATTATTTAGAGTACAAAATAAAACAGTTGTGTGAAAGGCCAAGAAAATGACCGGTTGGAAAATGATAACTATCAAATCACTTGTACTTTTTCTTTTTAAACACACCGGATGTTTCCCACCAAGGCAGGGTGACTTGAAAACAAAGAAATGCTTTCACCATCACTTGTACTGTCACTGTCTTGCTAGAGGCATGCCAGTACTGCAGTTCAGAGGCCCCTCCAAACTGCAGATAACCCCACTCCTCCTTCAGAGTGCAGGCACTATATACTTTCCACCTCCAGGACTCAAGTCTGGCTAACCAGACTTGAATGTCTTAACAATGAATTTAATATTTGCTATTCCTGATCAGCTTGTAAAGGGGTGTATGTTGTTTGCTGTTTCAAGACTGGAAAGTTTAATTGTAATTTTTGTTAAAGCTTATAGCTGCATAATTTGTTAGAACTACATCTAAATACCATAGTTTCTTTATGGTATTCACCTCTTATTTCAGGCCCATTCTGGATTTGCACAACTCTGGCCTTTACTACAGCCATTACTGGTAACCTTGCAAATTATTTGGCTGCTTCACCAGCAGAGACATATATCTGGAGATATGAGTTTCGTAAAGGTAAGGAGCATTCTTTGTGTTTCTGTTTAGGTTATGCCTTGTTGCCTTTACATCATATCCAGGAAGTAAAAATGCTTGGGGGATTGGAAGGCATTCTGGCTCAGTTCAAGGAATTGGAACACAAGTTCAATTCCTTAGATTGAGTCCCTCACTGACTTTAGGAATTCTGTAATGAAATTGCAACTTGTATGCAGTGAGAACAAGAGTGTGGGAGAATAATGGATTGCCTGATGCAAGCACATACACTTGAGAAAGTTGATAGATTAAGCCCATTAGATGTGAAACTGATTATTATTATTATTCTCCCACTGAGGCAGGGTGACCAAAAAGAAAGAAAATCCCCAAAAAGAAAATACTTTCATCATCATTCAACACTTTCACCTCACTCTTACATAATCACTGTTTTTCAGGGGTGGCCAGATTCAACAGTTTAGGAGGTTTTAGAGTGGGTAGGGGATGTGTAGATCAAGTGTTTACATTGAAGCATATATGTGAACATTATTTAGATAAAGGTAGGAAGTTTTTTATTGCATTTATGGATTTAGAAAAGGCATATGATAGAGTGGATAGGGGAGCAATGTGGCAGATGTTAAAGTATATGGAATAGGTGGTAAGTTACTAAATGCTGTAAAGAGTTTTTATGAGGATAGTGAGGCTCAGGTTAGGGTGTGTAGAAGAGAGGGAGAATACTTCCGTAAAAGTAGGTCTTAGACAGGGATGTGAAAAATGTCCCCATGGTTGTTTAATATATTTATAGATGGGGTTGTAAGAACATAAGAACATAAGAACATAAGAACGAAGGAACACTGCAGAAGGCCTACTGGCCCATGCGAGGCAGGTCCAAGTCTCCTACCGGCTTAAGCCAATGCACCCAAAACCTAGTCAGGTCAGGTCACATTGACTTAAAGGGAGGAACACGGAAAACGACCTGTTAGCACAAGCTATCAGGTCTAACTCCACCCACCCACATCTACTCATGTATTTACCCAAACCCTATTTTTAAAGCTACACAACGTTCGGGCCCTCTATAACGGTACTTGGGAGTTTGTTCCACTCATCCACAACTCTATTACCAAACCAGTACTTTCCTTATCCTTCCTGAATCTGAATTTTTCCAACTTAAAACCATTGCTGCGAGTCCTGCCCTAGGCTAGATATTTTCAGCACACTATTTAATCCCCTTTATTTATTCTGTCTTCCATTTATACACCTCATCATATCCCCCCTAATTTTAGTCTTTCTAGAGAGTGCAGTTTCAGGGGCCCCTTTGTCTATCCCCATAGGGAAGGTTTCTGATACATGGGATCATCTTTGTCATCCTCCTTTGTACATTTTCAAGGGATTAATCCATTCTGTAATAGGTGACAAAACTGTGCAGATAATCTAATAGGCCTAACCAAGGTGTATAGAGTTGAGAACAACTGAGGACTCCTATTATTATGCGTTGCTAAGAAGCAAGGATTATTAGCTTTATGCGAAACATTATGCATCGTTGTCTTGGTTTCAGTACTGCTAACAGAACCTAATCTTTTGTCGCAATCCGTAATATTAGATTATTTATTTTATATGTGGCATGGTTTTGTCTGTCAACAGTTTAGACTTGCATATTTGTTAATTAAATGATCTGCCAGTCTCGACCACTTGCATTTAGGTTTGAAAGCTTCCTGGATGCTCGAATGTGCGTCAGAATGAATTCGACGGTCCTATTTTGGTGTCATCGGCAAACTTGCATGCGCTTTTATGCCTTCATCTATGTGTTTTGGTAGTAGAAGAGGGGGCCCAACACTGACCCTGTGGAAACCAGCTCGTGACGCTATCCCACTTGATTTCTCCCTTTTCAAACTTCTGCTGCCTTTTGTCAAAAAACTAGGGTGTTCGGGGAGGAGGGGTGGGTTAAATTATGGGGAATCAAACACAAAATGGGAATTGACAGTTACTTTTTTGCTGATGATACTGTACTTATGGGAGAGTCTAAAGAATAATTGCAAAGGTTAGTAGACGAGTTTGGGAGTGTGTGTAAAGGATGAAAGTTGAAAGTGAACATAGAAAAGAGTAAGGTGATAAGGGTATCAAATGATTTAGATAAAGAAAAATTGGGTATCAAATTGGGGAGGAGGAGTATGGAAGATGTGAATGTTTTCAGATATTTGGGAGTTGATGTGTCAGCAGATGGATTTATGAAGGATGAGGTTAATCATAGAATTGATGAAGGAAAAAAAGGCGAGTGGTGCGTTGAGGTATGTGTGGAGACAAAAATCATTATCTATGGAGGCAAAGAAGAGAATATGTGAAAGTATAGTGATACCAACACTTTTGTATAGGTGTGAAGCTTGGGTTGTAAATGCTGTAGCGAGGAGGCGGTTGGAGGCAGTGGAGATGTCCTGTCTAAGGGCAATGTGTGGTGTGAATATTATGCAGAAAATTTGGAGTGTGGAAATTAGGAGAAGGTGTGGAGTTAATAAAAGTATTAGTCAGAGGGGTTGTTGAGGTGGTTTGGTCATTTAGAGAGAATGGATCAAAGTAGAATGACATGGAGAGCGTATAAATCTGTAGGGAAAGGAAGGCGGGGTAGGGGGTTGTCCTTGCAAAGGTTGGATGGAGGGGGTAAAGGAGGTTTTGTGGGCGAGGGGCTTGGACTTCCAGCAAGCACGCGTGAATGTGTTAGATAGGAGTGAATGGAGACGAATGGTATTTGGGACCTGATGAGCTGTTGGAGTGTGAGCAGGGTAATATTTAGTGAAGGGATTCAGGGAAACCGGTTATTTTTATATAGCCAGACTTGAGTCCTGGAAATGGGAAGTACAGTGCCTGCACTTTAAAGGAGGGGTTCGGGATATTAGCAGTTTGGAGGGATATGTTATGTATCTTTGTACGTATATGCTTATAAACTATTGTATTCTGAGCACCTCTGCAAAAACAGTGATTATATGTGAGTGAGGTGAAAGTGTTGAATGATGATGAAAGTATTTTCTTTTAGCCGACTTGCTTTCGTTTTTGGGTCGCCCTGCCTCGGTGGGAGACGGCCGACTTGTTGAAAAAAAAAATGTACAACTTATCCCTCCAAACTGCCAATATTCCAAACCCCTCCTTTAAAGTGCAGGCATTGTATTTTCCATTTCCAGTACTCAAGTCCTGCTATGTAAAAATAACTGGTTTCCCTGAATCCCTTCACTAAATATTGCCCTGCTCACACTCCAACAGCATAAAAAAAAAAAAAACTGAAAAGCACAAAGCCCAAAAAAAAAAAAAAAAAAAATGGAAAAACATTATTGAAAGGGCAACATATAGTATATATTAGAGAAAAGGAATCAGACCATCATGTGATAGTAAAATGTGAATGATGTAGTGTAGCACTGTGAAAATTCATTTGAATATATTTCCTTAAATGTGGGATGGAATCAATAGAAAATACAGTGTAGTAGCTTCTTTACATCCTTGGATATTTCAGTGAGCTCCACTTTAGTTGGATGTTGTGGGTCCAAGTCCACTTTATCTAATTAGTGTCCTCTTTTGTAAATGCACACAGGTACTTCATGCTTTGTATTTTCACATTTGCTTTTTCAGTTTGATAATTTTATCACAGCCATCAGTTCTCTTTATTTTGTCTTTCACATTTGGCTTGCATTCTACATACTAAAAAGACTTGGTTCTGACTTTCTCATGTGTGCTATTTCTTTTCCAAAGTTTCTTCCTTCCTCCTACATTATTTTTTTTTTTTTATTTGTTTGAATTTTTGGTGATTTGAGGTTGTCATGGCGATCCAAGGAGAAACCACATTCACCATCATTCATTCAGTCATTTTCTTTGCTTGTCAAATTTATCTTTCTGATGTTTGATCTTATTTGTCCTTTTCTTTTTTTTTCTTCAAGTCATATCTAGCAACATGTGTAGTTTAAAATGGAAAATGATTGCTTTTTCCAAGTTGCATTATATTGTATTTATTTTTAGAATTTCTTATTTTTTTTATTACCCAGTAATACTAAATCTAGTATTGGCAGTTTGTGACCTATTCTTATTCCACTCATTTCTCTAATTAGCATGCTCCTTTTTATTTATGATTGCAGAAAAAGTTAATATTGCTTTTTCAACCATTGTATGTACTTTTGTCTTTTCGTAAGCTTTTTTTTTTATTTCCTTTGATTCCTGTTGAGTCATGTTTACATGTAGAGATACTGTGCTGATGTTATTCCTGAATTTAATAACAAAAAATGTGCATAAACCTCATAAATGTTTAACACTTTTGCCAGGTTACTAGTTTCGGTATACATTCATTGTTAATTTCCTGTAATCTTCTTAATATTTCTTATTTGTTGCTATAAGGTCAATAATTCCCAAAACCATTCAGATGTAAACTAATTTTATGTTTGTTTTCTTAATCTACAGTTACATTAGCTGCTTCTGCTATATTTGCATATGCTTGGTTGATACCAATTGCTGTATGGGGTCTGCTGGTGTGGCGAGGATCACGGGCAAAGATATCACTTCTTGAACTGCTTTGTATCTATGGCTACTCTCTTGCCATCTTCATACCAGTATCGGTAAGTGCCTGAAGATATCGTATTTGAATTGGTTTAAACCAAATATAATAATGTTGCGACTAGCCAAGATTCAAACTGCTGATATTTTTAGCACGCCTTCTAAGCCCGCCAAAATTCTGAGATGCCTTAAAACGCTGGATCATTGGTGCATTGATGGCTTGGGGGTCTAAGGCATCTCAGTAATTTTGCGGGCTTGGGAGGCATGCTAGGATATCGGGGGTTGGATCCTCGGTTACACTCAGTATTATTATTTGCTTAAAAAAACTCGTTCATAGATGCATTAAATTGGTTTAATATGTACTGTATTATTTCTTTGCTGTATAGTAGTTGTATTTCTTCTTCCTTTAACCCTTTGAGGGTCCATGACGTAGATCTATGGCTATACGTTGAGGGTCCAAACCGTAGATCTACGCCATGAGCTCAGCTCACTCTGATAAGCTGTGAGCGGTAAATTTGGGCCTAGATATGAGAGAATGCATCTATGTGGTATGTGTGCACTACATAAAACAAATCCTGCAGCACACAGTGCATAATGAGAAAAAAACTGAGACCGTAATTTTCGATTAACCCTTTGACTGTCGCGGCCGTATATATACGTCTTACGAGGTACCGTGTTTGACGTATATATACTCATGAATTCTAGCGACTTCAAATCAAGCAGGAGAAAGCTGGTAGGCCCACATGTGAGAGAATGGGTCTGTGTGGTCAGTGTGCACTATATAAAAAAAATCCTGGAGCACGCAGTGCATAATGAGAAAAAAAAAAACTCCGACCGTTTTTTTTTTAATTAAAATGCCGATTTTGTGGTCTATTTTCGTATAGTATTTATGGTTGTATTCTCATTTTCTTGGTCTCATTTGATAGAATGGAAAACATATTATAAAAATAGAGGTGATTTTGATTGATTTTACTATAAAAAGAACCTAGAAATGGAGCTCAAAGTAGGGGAAATGTTTGATTTTTGCCAATGTTCAAAAGTAAACAAATGATGCCATTGTCCAATAAATGTCCAACTAGCCATTCTAATATGCAGTCATGAATGGGTTGATGTTATTTATACAATTATTACAGTATTGCAGTAGTCTGCATAATAGTAAGTCTTCTATTTTTTTTTTGAATAAAAATTCAAAATAGAAAGCAAGAGTAATATCAGAGGGGCCTGGAGACGTGACTGATGAACAAAGAAAATGATATTTTAGAGCCAGGAATGTCTGCATTGTTCATTCTGGGCCTTATTTTGAAATTGTCATATTTTTTAGTTTTCGTGAAATTGACCAAATTGCAAATTTCTGACCACATTATTAGGTAGTTGAAATCGGTAAATGGGCAGTTTCTTGTACTCAACCGATAGAAAAAATGGAGTTCTAAAGAAATAGCTATGAGTTTGGGCGACTGGAGCAATGGAATTAGCCGAAAATAGGGCTCAAAGTGGGCGAAATCACCGAGAGCATAATTCCGTCAGTTTTCCATCAAATTTCGTTTTTTTTTTGGTGTCATTACAATCGGGAAAAGATTCTCCATCATTTCATAAGAAAAAATAATTTTTTTTTTTTTTAAATTTTGCGACACCAGGAGACACCTCAGGATTGGGGGTTGCGACAGTCAAAGGGTTAACACAGCGACTTTTCGTATTTTTTTTACAGTTGCATTTGCGATTTCTTGGTCTCATTTGATAGAATGGAAGATGTATTACAGAAATAGTTTAACGAGTTTATTTGGTAGGTGCTGCAAGCGGGTGGTTAAATGATAGACGTCTTCTTCGGAGGCTTCTTCATTTATTGTTAAGTCGTGGTGGGTACACAGGCTTGTGTGTTTGTGCCCATGGCCCGGGCAGGGCCATCCAACGAGAGAGAGCTGGGAGGCCTTGTGTCTTGCTGCTAGGCCGCTGTGTGAGTGAGGGTGAGGCAAGTCTGGGCATACTGAAGTGGCAAGGCCTCTAGGTGGCAGCACCAGCATGGCGCGAAATATGAACTAAGCTGGCAGACAGCAGGGGCTGTCTGCGCAGACAGTACAGGCTGTCTACATACGCTCGGCCACCTACCGCGCGTCGTCCCGACGCGACAATACTGGTAGTAAAAGAAACTCGGCCTCTCTCTCGTAGGAACAGGGCACAGAACACAAAATAAAAACATATATATACATATGGACATGGAAAAAAAACTTCCTACAGGGAGGGAAGAAAAAAACATGTGGGGTGTGCTAAACATTGTGGTCATAGGCAATGAGCATCGAAGGGCATCACTGCACGCCTTCCTGCATCTGGACAGATACTGCAACACAGGAGACATCGCTGCGGCTGAGCTGTGAGGTAACAGGTTACGGTCTCCTCTGGAACGGTGAAGCAGACATCGTAGGAGTCGCTGCAGGTTTTCACTCAACCTGGGGCACGACATGCTGGTGCCCTCGAGTGAGGCGTCGACAAAACTCGGCAACTGGGCAGGACTTCTGGCAAGCGACTCAGGAGGACACTTCTCGACTGGTACTGTCGCTGGGCTGTCACTGCCGGCGAGCGTGGAGCGAGTTGTGGAGCGAGTCGTGGCAGAGACGACTGGGCGAAACATCTGGGAGTCGTAACATCATACACCAGACTGCAGTGAGAGAGCTAGCAGTCAAAGTGACATCTTCTTTGTGCAGGCTGCTCACTGAAGCTTGTGACACGAGGCTGACACAGCGTGTCATTCTCTCGGCAGTTGGAGTTATAGCAGAGGTTAGTCTAAGCGTCCCCAGACTTGTTTCTCTACATATAACTGCACTCTGAAGGTCTGGAGGTGAAGTGAAACAAATCTCGATGGGAATCGTAGCAGGTACGATTCTGCAGAACATCACGAGCGACGAGCATAAAAGCTTTCTGTACAAGAGGGCTCATATGCTCAGGGCTGAGTAATCAGCTGTCAAACACACTGGTCACACGGGTGACTTAACACAGTGGTGCTACTCAGGTCTGGCTCAGACCTCACTGGACACACGGAAACTTTACACACACCGCGGTTAAACAACATGGCTTAAACTAGAAATGATGCTTTTCTGTGCACAAAACTGACACTAAGACATACTAAAATGTGAGAACACTGACTGAGAGGAATTAATTAACACACGACATATATCTTCTCTCGATTCTTCTCGACAAGTACTGAAATAATTATGAAACACTCGATGGTGACATCATGTGATGTCAGGCGTGGATGTCGCGAGGTGACGTCAGCAGGACTGTGACGTCAGCAGACATCTCGAGGTGACGTCAGGCAGACATCGTGAGGTGAGTCAGCAGACATCGTGACGTCATGAAGTCGGGCAGCATCGTGGGTGACGTCAATGTGATGCGGGCAGCAGACCACAGCATGAGGCCTTGGGACATCTGGTAACTCACGTGGCTGGTAGATCCACGTGACATAGCCCACACCCACATGGCGTCGCGATCCACGTGGTGTCGTGATCTACGTGGCATGCTGGTCCACGTAGCTTCGAGTGGCCTCGGGCACTCGGATACACAGCTCTGGCAATGAATTCACATGGAAAACAGCAGAAAACACAGCAGAGGGAGTGGGCAGTGGTGAGTGGTGTATGGTAGACGGGTGAGCGTGAGTAGGGTGAGCATGGGCAAGGTGAGGAACAGCCACTTCCTCTCCTCTCCTCCCCCACCCACAAATACATAGAGAACTCACACTGGACGCAGAAATCACCACAAAACTCACCTCTGGCTTGCTGAAACGGCTGTGCTGAGCTGAACAACAACAACATACAAGTGACGCTGAACACGTGACTTGAGAAACAGCGTGGGACACTGTAGCGTGGAGTCACTGTAGCGTGGGGTCACTGTGATGCCACTTACAATTCTCGGAGAATTTCGGCAAATTTCGGCCTGGATCCTGCTTGTACCTGTGTCTGGATGCTCAAACGTGCAGACACGACATCAGGATAACTTGAGAGACGGATGCTTCTTGCATGGGATGATGAAGTGAAGATGACTTCATCCCTCTTCCTTCCTTGCTTTGGGCAAACACACTGCTGTGACCACCGCTGGTACCAGTTTAACGGGCTTGTTTGGTAGGTGCTGCAAGCGGGTGGTTAAATGATAGACGTCTTCTTCGGAGGCTTCTTCGTTTATTGTTAAGTCGTGGTGGGTACACAGGCTTGTGTGTTTGTGCCCATGGCCCGGGCAGGGCCATCCCACGAGAGAGAGCTGGGAGGCCTTGTGTCTTGCTGCTAGGCCGCTGTGTGAGTGAGGGTGAGGCAAGTCTGGGCATACTGAAGTGGCAAGGCCTCTAGGTGGCAGCACCAGCATGGCACGAAATATGAACTAAGCTGGCAGACAGCAGGGGCTGTCTGCGCAGACAGTACAGGCTGTCTACAATAGGGATAATTTTGATTGGTTTTAGTAATGGAAATGGGTTGAAACTGAGCTCAAAATAGCAGAAATGTTAAATTTTTGCCGATGTTCAAGAGTAAACAAATGATCCCACACGTCTAATACACGCCAGCTGGTGGAGCTAATATACGTTCACAAAAGTGGTGATAATATTTATACAATTATTACAGTATTGCATAACAGTAAATCTTCTATTTTTTGGTTTGAATAAAAATTCATTATGTGAATAAAAAATAAAAATGGAATTCATTTTAAAGCCCTGAAATC